TTTGTCTCAGGGTGTTTTTAATAGTGTTACAACATTAACTGTGTTTTACCTCTGTTCCAGGGTGTTTTTAATAGTGTTACAACATTAACTGTGTTTTACCTTTGTCCCAGGGTGTTTTTAATAGTGTTACAACATTAACTGTGTTTTACCTGAGCCTCAGGATAATCCTTCATTGCTGATAATACATCTTCTCTTGACAGACTAAAAAGTTCTGAGTATCCCACTGAACGAACGTCTGCAGTTCTTCTGTAGAAAGACAACGGTTGTTTCTTTAGTTCTAGGTTAACACTTAAGCAAGAGGGCTGTAATTAAATCTCCAATCGGTCAAGAGATGGCGCTATGAGCGAAAAATATGTACTTTAGAAAACAAATTCGGAGCCATTCTACGAACGACAGCTAAATTATTCCATCATATCTTTGTCTAAAATGTTATTCAAATTTCGTGCTAAAGTTCTTTTCTGATTCAGAACGTGGACAAAATAATCTGTATGCAGAATCATTTGCTACTAAAAATACGTGCCTAAAAAGTTATTTGTTTATAAAATTATGCGCTACCACAGTAAACAGTTTGTTTACAGATTTGATCGTTTACGTGCGTATTGATACAAAATGTCCTTATTACAGAGGTATCTACCCGCAGAAAAGAAGTTGACATAGTAAACAGACTTACCTGTTGAAGCCATCGAGATTGAGAATTCCAATTTCTCCAAAAAAGTCTCCAGCGTTCATTCTTGTTAACACTGTCCCTGTTTCACTGGAATTCAAATTGTAGGCAGTGCTCAGTAAGCGACCTTGTCTGGGTTTAAAGTTTGTTCTTGTAATTATTCTGTTAAACATTAGGTTTCTGTTCACTCTAAAAAAGCATTCGACTCATGGAAGTGTATGAAGATTAATGACAACTAGAGATATTCCAACAGGAAAGACTAACTAACGAATTGCTTGTTTACGAGCCACATCATTGGTTAATAGCATAGCTCGGCATTGTAGTCAAATAATTAAGCATTGTTAAACATAAAATTCAAAACAACAATAAGAGGCAAATAAAACTAGCTAACAATAACCACTGTGTTAGTTTTTTGAAGTATATTAAATGGGAAACATTAATTTATCATGCATCTTCATACACGTTTCAGCGTTTCGTGCTACTAGTCTTGACGAAATCCAGTCAACGAGACCATGTTCTTGCCTTCGCTGCAGCGAAACGTCTGAAAGACACTAATGGGTACATGTTTTAGTGATAAACCAAGGTTAGGGTTAACATTTTTTATTCTGAGTGGAAAGTCACACACGATTTATTTCTTAAGTTCTACACAACTTCCATTATACATCCCTACCTTATTGAAATATCCAAATGACAAACGAGTAGTTAAATATAAGGATCTTTAAATATATATATATATATATATTGATAATTAAACATTTTGGGGAAGTGATGCTATTAGTGAAAAAATGTAAATTATTTCCAAAGAACCCCCTTAGTTTCAAACACGAACATTAGCTCATCAGAAGTCAGTGAGAAATAAGTAGTTGATTTAAATGAAAAGAAAAACTATATAATTAAAGCTTTTGTGACGAAAAATTCATCTATTTTTAGCTAAAATCCTAGAAATTACTGATCCCTTGCCAACCGAAGACTATTGACTCCTCGCCTCTTGATGTGTTATACAATCTAGAGACTATTGACTTCTTGCCTCTTAATGTTTTGTACTATCTAGAGACTATTGACGCCTTGCATCTTTATGTGTTGTACTATCTAGAGACTATTGAGTTCTTGCCTCTTATTGTTTTGGCGTCAATAGTCTCTAGATAGTACTTGCATCTTTATGTATTGTAAAATCTAGAGACTATTGAGCTCTCTTCTTAAATGTTAAAGAACCTAGTTAATACTGACCCCTCACTTCATACATGTTATAGAACCTAATTAATACTGACTCCTCACTTCATACATGTTATAGAACCTAGTTAATACTGACTCCTCACTTCATA